GGCCCGTCGGAATGTGACGAGACGCTAGATTAGGTGTAAGAGGAAAATAGGGAAAGAAAGAAGGAATGTAAAGAAGAAAAAAAACAGGAAAAGAGGAAAAAAAAAACGGAAAACGAAGATCAACGGTCGATCGCCCGCAGAAGAGGCAATCAAAATCTCTGTTTTGTTGATCCCTTAGTGGCTGTTTGAAGCCCATACATAGTTTAAGCTACATCGTAACGTCGTTAAAGCCCGTCATTTGGGGCACGCACGCCTACAAGGAAAATAGTGATGATGCAAAGAAGACAATGAAAAAGAAGAAAAAGAACAAGAGTGAAGATGAAAAAAAAGAAACTCCAAACAAAAATAGAAAAAAAAAGTGGTTTGTACAGGATACCGACGGGGAGCAATGAAGCTCACTGAAGAAAGCTTGAAAAGCAAGTCTATGGGATATCGCCAAGATGCAAGAAGGTTGCTCGCCGGCAAACCAGGGTCATGTCCCCTATGAGTTGTTCACTACGCCAATGTCCAGTCCGAAAACGAAATGTTTGTTGCGCAAAGACTAGAAAAAAAAGAAACAAAGAGCAAATGAAAAAAGGGTATATGCTAGAATCGAATATACGCGAAAAGAAAGCGATCGACGTCCAGGCCAGAACAAGGGCTGGAGCAATCATAACTTTTTGTTTTGTTTGGAAAGAAAGAAAACGTAATTGCCGAGCCGCGCTGTTGTCATGGCGGCTCTAATAGAAACAAAATCGATAGTCGTCGGATGCGGGAGCATAGTTGCACTGTGCTATCGAGCGGGATTTCCCTGGCCGCGTGCCGCATGTCCCGTTCGGATGTAGGGTGCGGAACGGATAGCCGTGGCCCATGTCGTGGCGCCAGAATCCTTGGAAACAAGAAACCGGCACACTGTATGATGTACCAAAATACCCTAGGTGGGCGGACAACATGGGGGGGGGCGGGTGAGGGAATGTATGATGCAACTGCAGCCGAAAATTCATGCTCACACACATACGCGTGGCGATAGCGTCAGCTGCCAAATGTGGCGCTATTCTGTAAGCTCGGACTACCGCTCCATTGTGCTTGAGCGACTAATAGGGTCTAGATCGGATTCGCGTGACTCGCTTCCTGTGCGATGCAGCTCCTCCTTGCGGCGCCGGCGCTCACTGGGCGCACGGCTAATCAAGCGTCTGACGAAGCTGCGGCTCGATTTGTTGTTGGTGGGCTCCTGAAGAGGGCTGCCCGGGTCGACCAATGACCCACACGAAGTGGCACTCGAGGGCTCGGGGGCATCGACAATGTCCTGCTTCTTGATCTTGCAGAAGAGCGTCGAGAAGAGGTACTGCTCGCCGTTGCTGTCGTAGAGGGGGAGGTGACGGTAGCCTTGCTGGATGCTGCTGAGCTTGGCCGTAAAGGTAGCCAGCGGCGCGTGATTCGTAGTCCGTGCATCGAGCGAGTTCCAAACAGTCCAGCGTACGAATACGAGGCTGGGGTATCTGGTCGTGACCGTCATGTCAATCTCGTTGCCAAACTCAGGGTTGTAGCCGTTGCCCTCAACAATGCGGGTCCGCTTGCGGAGAGGGTTGCCAATTCCAGAGTGGCCGTTGCGAGCTGATGCGTCTTGGCCGCCAATGCCTGTAGCGTTGGCACCCATGTCTTCTGCGCAGTACATCTCAAACTCGACGTATGGGTTGATGTTGGCCTCTTGGCCAAGGCCTCGGGGTCGAGGTAGCTGCTGAGCAGAGATGATCTGAACCGTGAACTTGACTTCCTTCTTGGGTGCCTTGCGGTGGCCAATAACCGGTGTCTGAGACTCGAGACGGAGCGCTGCAGGCTTGAGCACGTAGCCTGTGCGGTCATCACCGCCAGCGAACATGGCTTCGTTCAACTGCTGGCCAAGGTCGTACGTTTGCCAGTTGAGCGCAGCCATCTGCACGCCGCGACGCCAAAACTTGAGAGGGTCAAAGTTGGACGAGTTGATGCGGAAGGCGTGCGGGTACACGCGCATGAGGCAGCGCATGTTGTGTTCCTCGAGCAGATGCTTCTCGCGCGCGCCAGGCTTGGTGAGCTTGTCAAAGGCGCGCTCGTTGATGGAGAAGACGTGGTTGAATGTGTTGGCTTCCATGCTGGCAAAGTCGGTAAACTTGACGCCCCGCGTGTAGACACCAAGACTGCCCAGCTCCTTGGTGATGTTGTTGGTCTTGTTCTTCTTGGTCTTGTGTCGGTCGTCGGCTACCTCGGCTGCGTCGGCAGCAGTTGCGTTGGGGCTGTCACTGTCCTCTGCCGAGCTCACGGCTGTGGATGTAGGCAGCGTGTTGTTGGAAGTGCGGGGAGTGGCCCAAAACGTGGCAGATCGCTCTGGTGGGCTCATCGAAGGCGGGCTGGAAAGAAGAGGCGAGTTGGGGATGACGTTGTCGTTCATCACCACAGGGCGTGACCATGGTGAGCTGAAGCTGCGCTGTCTTCGCGAGGTGATTTCGCTCATGAGCGCTCGCGTGTCAAACTCCTCACCTGCCGCACCCTTTACTTTGATGAGTATGCGGTGCTTGAGTTCTTCTGGGCTGGGTAGGCACTGCGACTCAAAGTCAAGTGGCTGAAGCACAAGCTTGTCGCCAAATTCCTGTATCATAATCTTGACCATGGCGGACTGCTGGATGGGCGAGCAGTGGACCTCGAGCGAGAGGATGACGGGGTATGGCGACTCGGTAAAGGCGTACTTGTTAATGACCTTGATAGTGTCCTGGAAGAGAATGCTCTTGGTCAGCGTGCGGCCGTGCATGACGACGGGGACGTTGTCGGCGCCGTCCCAGCAGTCAATCTCGAGGCATCGGCAGCCCTTTTGGAGGGCCGTGATGTAGGCCTCGGTGCTGGATTCGCCGGCTACCTGGCGGCCGAGGAGGTACGTGTTGTGGGAGCTGGAAATGTAGTACTCGTTGAGCGGTCGGTCGAGCTTCTGCTGGCTCCCGACTGGGCGCAGAATCGAGTTTGCGGCGGATGTGAGGAATGTCTGGAAAGCCGAAAAGTTCATGGCCAAGGGCAGCGGCACGTCACCACCCTCGACGGGCGTGGTAGCCGCCCGCGGCTTTGTTGCGCGTGCAAACTTTTCAAACGTGTTTGTCCAGTACTCGAGGTCTGCATTCACATCGACGCCCTGTTCTTGCTGGAGAAATGAGAAGAAGGTGACCTTGTCCATTTCAATCTTGGAGCCTGAAGTGTAGGACTTGTAGATCATCTTGATATCCTTGCGCTCTTTGAGGCGCCTGACAAAGGATAGGAACTGTGATTGGTTGAGTTTTCCCGTGTCGAGCGTGTCGGCCTTTTGGAAGTAGAGGCGAAGCGTGGCTTCGCTGCAGTTGATGTGTAGGCTTCGGCACAGCTCGACGATGCTGGGAAAGTCCAAGGATTCTTCGCCCTCGCCGCGCTTCTTCATGGCGCGTTGCCAGACGAGCTTGGCGCTCTTGTCGGCGAAGCCCATGAGGCCAGCCATGAGATCGATGCGGTTGCGCGACACCGACTCGAGCGTCTGGGTCCACATGTTGAAGATGCCAACGTCGGGGGCGATGAGGTGCATGGTGCGTATGCGGCCCTTGGAGCGCGTTGTGTCGGTGTAGACAATGGTGAACCAGTAAGGGGCCCAGTTCTCGGACAGGCCGCACTCTTCGCGGTAGTGCTTGGCCTCTGGGCCGGAGCGGATTTCCTTGACGTCGTCAATGTAAAAGGCCTTTGACGGGCGCGAGGGATCCCAAAAGACTTTTGCCGACTCCAGATCGAGGCGCAGGTTGATTTCCTTCTTCTCCTTTTTGGTAATCTTGCGGAGGACGGTGCCCTGCTCGAGGCGCGAGTTGCGGACGGGGGCCACGACGGCGGCGTCTGGGATGGAGCTGAAGCTGGGCGAAGGGCCGGTGATGCCAAGGCCTTGGATGGGCTCGTAGGGGTCCTCGATGGCCTCTTCCTCCTCGAAAGCGTCAAAGTCGGAGATGCCCGTGTCGGCGCCGTCGGCGGCAGTCCTGCTGTCGCTGCGGCGGCGCATGATGACGGGGCCGGAGCTCTTGTCGCGCTGGGCCGTCGAGTTGCCACGACGGAAGCGATGGGGAATGCCCTGGGCACCGCGGCTGACGCGTCGGATCAGGTTGGGACCCTTTCCAAGGGCTTCGGCCATGGCCGAGGGAGAGGAAGTTGGCGACGACTGGACGGGGGCCGGCAGCAGAGACTCGGGCAGGGCGTACGAGGGGATGGCGGGCAGCGAAGACGAGATTGGCACCATGCCTTCTGGGGTGGACTGGAGCGAGCCATTGAGGCAGGAAGCAGTCAGGGCCGGGCTGGGGCGGGCGGAAATGTTGATGGCGCGGGCGTACGTGGGCGAGGGCGAGGGCATGCGCGGGCGCGCGTAGGAGTCGTGGAGGAGCGACATGTTTGGCGGGCGGGCGGCGGCTTGGGGTGGTCAAAGCAGAGGGCTGGCAGTCGAGACGAGACTTTTTTTTTCCGAGAAGGAGCTAGTAAATCCTCATGGCGCGGGCAATGGTTGCAGGGTGGGAAGGAGCGTGAGGGCGGGCGGGCGCCACTGGAGAATAAAAGCAGATAGGATCAACAGCCTGCTGGGTCCTGGTGGGAAAGCTCAGGGCTAGGAGCTGGATCGCATCGTGAGACGGACAGAAGAGCGTGTGGCTATGACGAGTTTGGACGAGTGAAGCGCGCGCTGCGCGAGGTGCAGGTGCAGGTCAGCTGGGATTACTGGGAGGCTGCCTTGCATGCACGACGCATGGATACTGGGAGCGATCTGAGGTACTTCGGAGCAGTCGAGTCGTGGGGGGGTGTGGAGGGGGGGGGGTTTGTTTTTTTGGCAGCAAGCGAGGCGGGCAGACCAGGGCGGGCGAAAACAAGCTCGTCAAACGCGGCCGTGGGATGCGGAGAAGGGCGGGCAGCTGCAGGCGGCAGAGTGCAGGCAGAGTGCAGACCGAGAGCAGACCGAGAGCAGCAGCAGCAGCAGCAGCGGATGCGGGCGCGGATGGTGTAATGGAGGAGGAGGAGGCGAGGCGAAGAGAGGAGAGGATGTGAGTGGTGTGGTGGTGTGGGAGTGGGTTGTGGGTTGGCGTGATGTCGTTTGTGTGTAATTGTTTTGCTCGCTAGGCGGGTAGCGCAGAATAGCCGTGTGCGTGGGAATGGGTGTGTGTGTGTGTGTGTGTGTGTGTGCGAGTGTGTCGTCGGCAGAGGGCAGAACAGGCAGTAGGTATATGTGGGCAGCGATGGTGGGCCAGGAACAGACAAGGCCGCACACACCGAATTTTCAGCTAAATCTTACAACGACACGGCTATCCCTTGGCTCCTTGTCATCCGGGCCCAAGGCCGCCTCGAGGGTTAATTCGGGCTCCGAGGCGTCTTCCCTGCTCGCTCTCCTGTGCTAGCGCGAGGCGTCTTGAGCCGCGACGCTGGGTGGAAGGGAGGGAAGGGAGGTTAGGGCCCCACCGAGCAACGGCGTCGAGGATGACGCACCCGAAACTGCGACTACGGGGTCGGCCAATCACGCCGCGCGAGCCTGGGATGCATGCACCTGCGCACCTAGTACGTCTACTCGAGCCCTCCGCGCGCGCGACCAAGGCGTGGATGCGCCCAAGAAAGCACGCCACCCAGCGCTGCCACGGCCATGACGAGCGACAAGGCGCTGGCCTGCCCGCCCGCCTCCCGCTGACAGACGAGGGCGCGGCATTGGCCCGCCGGCCTTGTGTGCTGCTGCCGTTGCTTCCGGCCAGAGACCCCATACATACTACACGCTATACACATGCTGCGTGTCGATACATACGCCGCTACTCCTGCTGCGCACATGGACGCGGGCAGGCTGTACACGCTGGCCGGCGACGGGCAGCGTCTGGGGACTGGCGCTTGCAGTGCAGTGCCGTGCAGTGCTGTGCTGTGCTGTGCCCATGCCCAAGCCACCAGTGCCAGCGACGAGGCGCCCCATGTGTGGCTGCGCCCTCGCCCTCGCCCTCGCCCTCGCCCTCGCCCTCCACCCACACCACACCACACCACACCATAAGCCCACACGTGGCGTGCGGGCAAGTTGAAACCAAGTGCGAAGCCGGCACAACGGTTCGATCACCATAGCCGGCCCTCTGACGGCGCAAAAGACCAGGGATCCGCCCTCCCCCAGCCCAAAGTTTGCGTGGAGCCACCAATTTCCCTGCCCGCACTCGCTCTCTCGTCTGCCCTCGCCCTCTTCGCCTCTCCGCCCGCCTCCCCAAGGCTCTTTGTCAACAAGGCTGCACACGGTCAATGCCACAGCAGCCGTCCGTCCGTCCTTCCAAGGCTTCGAGAAGCCCGCCCTTTCGACCCCTGACGCCCATGCGCCCATCGTGCCACGCCGCCCCCGCACATCTCGTCTGCTGCCCTCTGGTTTCTTCTTGCCTTGTTTCTTTGCTGCACTTTGCTCGCTCACGGCCATGACGCTCACGGCCACGGCACGTCGACGCCCCATGTGACGCCCATGTGACGGCCTGGCGGTGTGATGTATCTCGTGCTGTCGTGCGTCGTCGTCCAATCGTTTGCCGCGACGGCCTCTTTCTTGGCCCTGCCTGCTCCCGCCGGCGCCCTGATGATTCACAGCCCCGCCCTCTGCCCTCTGTCCTCCACCGCCGCCGCCGCATATGGCACGCCTGCACCTGCCCTTTGCCCTTGGGCAGCAGCGCCATGCCGCTTCCGTCTCACTGCACGACCTGCCTACTCACGTCTACACCTCCCATCTGGCCGACGTGCTGGCTGGCCCACTACACCTAGCACCACCACATCCATCGACATGGCCGGCCATGTCCATGTCGTGTGTGTGGCTGATCCTTCATCTGCTGGCTCAGGCCGTGCCGAGGGCCGTTCGCCAGCGACAGGGATGCCTGGCCACAGCCATGCTCACACTCACTGCTCGTGCTCGTAGGGCTTACCCAGAAATAGCTCGCACGTTGCTCCGCCTGCCCCGAGCCACTCTCGAAACAATTGCAATCGCCCCCCATGCCTGCTCATGCTTGCTCCGAATCTGATGCATCAAGGGCAGGTGTTCGCATTACTCTGCCTGCAACCCCCCCAGCACGCCCAGCATACGCCTGCTACCACCCAATTCATCCCACACAACCAACGCCCGCTCGCATTCCCACGCCCGCCTCCCCCAACCTCGCCCCGCCGCCGTGCTCATTCAACCTCAGCTGAGCTAATGCTTCCGCGAGCCTGACCTGACATGTCCTTCCCGGGCCCCATGGAGCAGCGGCGCCAGCAACCCAAACCCAAACGCACAAGCCCCGTCCTGATTCGCTGACGCCGCCAAACCCTGTGTTGCTACATTAGCCTACCACCACGACTACCACCACGACTACCACCACCACCACCAGAACCACCGTGCTCACAGCTCATGCTCGTGCTCGTGCTCGTGCTCGTGCTCGTGCTCGTGCCCGCCCTCGCTCCTTCTTCACAGCGCAGTGCCAATCTTCTTGGACAAGTCCCGCTAGCCCGACTAGCCCCAACCTTCTCCCCCATCATCACCCTCTCTCCTCTCCACTGAAACCGCCATCAGGCATATGCTGCATTACCACATCTACACTCACACACTCACACACTCCCTCTCTCTCTCTCAGCTGCTTCGTCATCTCGCCCTGGGATACCGCTTCTGCAACACCACCCTGCAAATGACGGCTCAGACCGCACCGGTCCGACTGACGCCCCGGTATCCTATCCTCACGCTGCCCACTGCCCACTGCCCACTGCCCACCCGTCTCGTCGAGTAGGGGCCGCCGCTGCTCCGGATCACGACGGGACGTTGCCAATCAACTCTCCACTACCCAACCACCCCATGTATTTGGACAACGATGCGTTGTTCCCCTTAGCCCCAAAGTAGGGCCCTGGATGACTCACCATCGCTTCCTGCTGCCACCTGCCACCTGCCACCTGCCACCGCCTTGCGCTCCACCGTTTCCTGTCCCGGCCCTAACAACACACCCATCATCACCGCCGCTCAACCTCGTCGAGCACACAACGTTGTCATCTTCGTATTTCTCCAACTAGCCCTCCCCCCAAGACAAATGCCTGCCAATTCCTCTCATCTTGGTCCGAATTTCGCCAATTTGTCAATGGTGCATCGCCCTGGCGAATCGCGTCCTCCAACGCCCGCCCTGGTATAGGTTTCCAAACACCCCGTCTCACGGAGGGCAAGGACTCGGAAATTGAGCGCCCCCCAGTGTGCCTATCATCATCCCGACCTGCACAAACATGTTGCGACCACTTTGTAGCAGCTTCATTGTCCCATGACGTATCAAACTTTGTACGCTGCACCGCGTCTCTGCTGCCAATGGCTCCCTCATGTCCGACTGAGCCATCATCCGAGATTGCGACATGGCGCATCCAAGCTTCCTGCCCCATGATTGCGTATGCATCTGCATCGGCCTTGGACCTGTCAACGGCAACGTGGTGCAGACCCTTTACTTGGGACGCGCGTGGCAAGCTTGCTCTTCGGTGCTGTTTTGTTTCATGCTCCTCCTCCCGCCCGTTGCTCGCGCTGTAAGTACGTATGCTTGTGCCAGAGTGTAGGCCGCTAGATACAAGACGCTGCGCGCCATCATCACTGTGAGCGCCGTGCGCCAGGCCAGAGCCAAGTGTAGAGCCTGCCCTCTCACCCAATGTCACTCTTGCCGCCGCCCGTCGCACCTTGACCTGTCTATCGCAAACATGCTCAGCGTTGATGAATTCCACACGACCAGACGTCAGCCCATCTTGCTCCAACAGCATCGGCTCTGAAGAAGCATGTGATTGTGCCTCTCCGTGGAGCTGCGTGGCCCGAGTCTCTGTCAATGCATCTGTGCCTATGCGGATTCGTATGTCTTCGCCCTTGCTACGTGCAACGCCATCGTCGACACAGGCAGCAAAGACGTCGCGCTGAAGATCAGGGTCTTCCCTCCACCACCGTCTGTCAACCTTTCGTTTCTTGGCCGTGCCATGGCTGTCCGTCGTTATTCTGCGCTTGCCGATCTTCGCTTTCTGCTCACAAGACACAAATTGCAGACGCACTGGCTTGGACGAGTGAATGCCGACCCAGTCCGGCTGTGCCAACAGTCGTTTCTTATCCGCTTCCAGCAATCGCGTCGCCGCATTCGTCTCTGGGGCCTGGTGTTTCGGCCTACGCAAGTCTACCTTGGGGGTCAGTTGAGTTGGCCTCTGTTTGTATATTCTACAGCCAATCTGCCGTAGATCCCTTCGCCACAACTACCTTGTTTAGCCTTGAGTGGAGCCCCTGGCTGGTCAATCTCGAGGGCGACGCGTCTGCTATATGCTTGATACCGAGAGGCTTCACGTCGGCCTACTGTAGGTGGTCAGTGCTTACAACTGTTCAGCGGATGCAACACCCCACCAAAATTAGTGCTCCACTAAAGATAAGGCTATAGAGCCCTATATAAAAGCTATTATTATAAGATTTTCTAGTAGAGTATTAAGCAAGTAGTAATATATATTTCTATCTATATATATTTCGCTAGTAACTTTATATTAGTTATAGTAAGTAATTTTATATTTTCTATAGTAGCTATATAGAACTGGATTTATTTATAGTGTAACGATGTTACAACTTCGCCAAGTATTGAGCCAATCCCAGAGCCGGATCGGAGGAAGTACCTGCCGCCCTTCATCAGCCATTCGCCCGAGGTCGGATCCGAATTCGGACCCGACTAGGATAGGTATATATTGAGACACTCCCTGTAGCTAGCTCTGTAGACTTTTGATATCCTTTCGTACAAGGCCTATAGGTGGCTTGTTGAATCTAGGCTCTTTGTGATCCCACGCACTCCCATATGCCTCTGAGTGATCCTACGACCGAAACAGATCCGACCTGCCTTTCCTGCGCCGTTACATATAGTAGCAGCGCGTTAACATTAATGACATAATACTAAACTTTTTTATAGCTACTCTATATAAAAGTTATTTTTTAAGATCTTATATATTAACTACTATAAGCGCTTTCTTAATTAGAGTTATAGTAGTAGAGTTATTACGCGTTAAAGTAGGTAGGTCTGTTTTAGGAAGGTGCAGATGGTGTTGCATCCGCTGAACAGTTGCACGCACTGACCACCTACAGTACCGCGCACCACTTGTTGTCTGGTGAATGCTCCTGCTGTGATGCCTCGTCCTCTCCACATTCCACAGCCTCTCCCCCACATCGGACCGACACGGCGCCAAGCAAAGCGCCTCGGAGCAGGACTGGGCTGTCTTTGTCGCAAAGGTAGCTGGGGTAAAAGGTTGCCGCGGGCGTTTGACGAGCATTCTGAAGGTTTGTCCGCGCCTTTGCAAAATATGCTTTTTGCCGTTGACGCGTGGCGGAATTAGCTTTTTTGGTGCGACGCAGCGAACCTCCCGTCCAGTTCATGGCTGCCATCAAGAGCCTGTCGGCGACGTTGACATGACTGAAGCCATGTGGAGTCGGGTGGGCGGTGGTGGTGGCATGGCGACGCGTGACGGCAAGGGGTGTCCCTCCCTCCTTCCTCCCTTCTCTCCCCAGGCAGCTCCTCCCCACTTATGACCATCAACCCCACTATTGCTCTTCCACCCCCCTCCCCCGCCTCAACCCTCACATTGAGCATATACAGCCCGCCCACTTGACTCGTGCTCATCTTCAGCCCGCCCATCCTCTCGCCGACTTGTCAACATGCTGCACACCGTTGTTCGGATGTGCGGTGCCGATGGCGAAGCAGCCAGAAATGAAAGGGTCCACTCCCCCTAATGGATCCGCGCTGCCATCTTGTCCCTCCGCCACAAGTGTGGAGCGCTGCGGCAGCTGAACCGAGTCCCTGCGACGGGATCCTCGTGCGTGTACTGCGGTAAATCTTGGGCGCCCACGGCCAAAGGTTGCAGACACAGAGGTCGCGGGATTGCATGGCGCTACCTTGGCGACTGTCGACCTACACCCACCTACCTACCTACCTACCTACCTACCTACCTACACTATGCACGACAAGGTGCGGTGAGGGAAGACGGCACACCGGTGCTCTCTCTCTCTCTCTTTGCTGGTTGTAAATCGGGTCTGAACCAGAGAACTCGTGGAGGCGTGGAGGCGTGGAGACGTGGAGAAGGTGGAATTCGACACCACATCCCCCGCCTTTTGCTGCTGGACCTCAGTCATCCTTCATCCATCTCTTTGCCATCCAAGGTTCAAACTTCGGTTGGAAAACGGCCCTCGATCCTCACAGCATCGCCCTCTGATCATTACTTCTTACAGTGTTGCTTCCGGTCCTGAACGGGTTTTCGGCATCTCCAAACGCCCATGTTGCGCTAGGCATAGGATGACTGGACGCTAGATACTGGCTCACAGGGAAATAGCTTGAGTGTCGCATCCCACACATAGAGCCAATCCTGCCACAGACAGCAAAGACAGCGTTTGGTGTCGTCGACATGCCCACGAGGATTGGTACGGCCTTATTTCTATGCTGCAGAAATGCCTCATCACCATGGTTGCTGCGGCGTGGCCAGGTTTTCCCCCATGGGTCGCATACGTAGGTGTAGGACTGAAACCCACACTGCAGAAGCACCGGGCGCCGTATATGCCCATGTACAGTTACGTCAAGTGTCACATGCTTGCGCCTTAGCTGTGGGTACTTTTTCTACCAGCGACCCACTACTTGTAAGCTGTGTAGATATGCACGCACTTCCACTTGGGAAAGAGATGGACGGATGGCGCAAAAAGCCGCCTGGGGGCGTCTCAAACATGGCCTGCTACACCGTACACCGTCCCACGCGCCAACGGTCGCACACCACGAATTATGGCATGGCCGGTCGATGCGACATGTCGTAGCCTCTAAACGCTAACAAGGCGGCTCAAGCATTGGCATGTCTGCCGAGATAGCCTACCTTTGAGCCTCAAGTTACCTCATCCAGCCCCCGGCGCTTGGCGAGAACGGCGGCCGACTTGTTCTCGTTAGAGGCAAGGGGCGGCTGACATGTACTCGTGTTAGATGGGCACTCGGATGTCGTTTGCGGCGGCTGCCCTGAGTCCCTGAAATTCTGACGAATCTTCATTCGCGGGCAAGCCCTGCCGGTGAGGATGGGTACTCTCTGGCGACGTAGCGATATGCAGGCTAATCACCCGTGACATCATAGCGCCGAAGAACCTCAAAATTCTGCAACATTGTTCCACAGCGACAGCATCAACCGCGGCCGTCTGCCACATGTGCGCTTGCAACGGCCATGACCGGAGACTGCCAGGGATGCACGCAGGCGCAGAATTTCGGCCGTATACCCACAATTATTGCAACACCACCCGGCATGCCCATCGAATGGGCATCGAGAAACATGCCACAATCTCTCACCATGCGTCCAAAGCGCACGCCTATGGCGCTGCAACGCCATCGAATTTACCTTGGGCCAGTGCCCCTTGCGTCTGCCTCTGACTAGGTGACGCCATCAATCTACGCAATACACGTCCATAGAGTCCTAAACTGTTGGGCGAGTATGCTCAGGGTCCGGTCAATCGACGTAGATGTGCAGAGTGCTGTGCCAATCGTGTTGCAGACCACCATTCCAGCAATGCTAGCGATGCAGCGTCCATGTGTCGATGGCGATTGGTATAAAGCTCTCGGTATCTTCACGCAAACCAACCATCTATCAACATAACCCACCTCCACATACCCACATACCCACATACCCACTGTTCTCTCCGCTTGTTGAGGGGTTTTCTGGAGAATCGACCTGTCTCTCGGGCTCGCAGACTATAAAGGCTACCGAATTTCCTCGACTATCAACCCGCCACACCCAAAAAGTCCACAAGCTTCTCCACCTGAAACAGGAGAGCATTTTCCATAAGCACTTGTGTTTGGAGCATCTTTTCCCAACACCATCGCATACCATGTCGGCGCCTTCACTTGTAGTTCCCTCTGCGGGAAGCCGCTTTGTGCGTCGCCTCTCGTCAACCGAGGCCACGCGCGAGAACAGTCAGATGGGCCCAACTGTCGTCGTTCCCCCACAGCACCTAATGGCCCCATCCAAGCAACACTCGGAAATTGCCACGGGCTTCGAGACTGCCAGGCGCCACCTCGAAGCCATCGCACCCGCATCTCCAGACTTGACTCCGCCCGAAACGTCCGTTACCGATAAATATGCATTTGCTTTTGGTGTGTTTAGCCAAACACTGTGTGAGCCCTAGAAAATCCTTTCTAACCTTGTGTAGACATTGACGGTGTCCTGATTCGTGGTGGTCGGCCGATCCCTGAGGCGATTGAGGCCATGAAGATGCTCAATGGTGAAAACGAATACGGCATTCAAGTCCCGTACATTTTTGTTACCAACGGCGGCGGCAAGACCGAAGCCGAGCGCTGCATCCAACTCAGTAAGCAATTGGAGATTGAAGTCTCGCCCGGCCAGTTCATTTGCGGACACACGCCAATGAGGGAAATGGCTGAGAAGTACGGCACTGTGCTGGTTGTGGGTGGTGAGGGCGAGAAGTGTCGCATCGTTGCCGAGGGTTACGGATTCAAGGATGTGTAAGTCTAGCCGACTGCCGCGACGCATGACGCATGCTAACGCTAAGCTCAGAGTCACACCTGGCGATATCATCAAGGATAACCAGGATACCACGCCATTCCGCAAACTTACAGAGGAAGAGTACCGAAACTCGCGGACGCGAAACTTTGCTGAGGTTGAAATTGAGGCCATCTTCGTCTTTGCCGACTCGCGCGATTGGGCTTCGGACCAGCAGATCATTTTGGACCTTCTCATGTCCAAGAAGGGCCGCCTTGGCACCAGGTCGGAGAACTATGATGAAGGCCCACCCGTCTTCTTCTCCCACAACGACGTGGTCTGGAGCGCTTCGCACGACCTCACCCGCATTGGCATGGGCGCGCTCCGCGTTTCTCTGGAAGCCATGTTCAAGGCTGTCACTGGTCGCACCCTTGAGACGACGGCATTCGGCAAGCCTCAGATTGGTACCTTCCAGTTCGCTACTCGCCTCCTCCAGGAATGGCGCAAGGACACACATGGTATTGACTCGCCTCCCTCGACTGTTTACTTTGTCGGCGACACACCTGAATCGGACATTCGAGGTACGAATGAATACAATGAACAAAACCCTGACGCCAACTGGTACTCGATCCTGGTCAAGACTGGTGTCTTCCAGGACGGCACCAAGCCTCGCTTCGAGCCCAAGGCCACTGTGAATACTGTCCTCGACGCAGTCAAGCACGGCATGGAGCGCGAGTACAAGAAGGCTCTTAAAGAGAGCATGATTGCAACCAAAGTGTTGGATGATTAGGCATAGTTTGGAGGGCATTTGCCTTTTTTTCTTTCACTCTCGGCTTGATGACTTGTTTGTATCGCATAGCACTGGTGTATTGGCGCACGGATGATACATATTTGGTTTTTACCTTTTTCTTTCTTTCTTTTTTACAAGAGGACCACGAAGAAGACGAAGAATAGCGCTAGTCGCTGTGCTGAGATGATAGATTCTCCTTAGATGGAATGATACAGAAGAAATATTCATGAAATCAACATTTCGCGCGTATATATAGCTGACAGATGGTGCCAAAGAAAAAAAAAGCGAAAATCTTCGCCTCATGCCAGATTGTGTGTGTGTGTGTTGGAAATCAGCGAGAATTGCTCGCCTCAGATTGCCTATTTCCCCCCAACCCCCCTTCCCGTCACCGTTGCACCACCAGCAACCCTGCGCCTCTTGTTCTCATTTTGACGCACACATCCCTGGCATGACGACAGGACCGCCTGGGGGGACTGACCTGGGGCTGGGTTGAGTTGAGTTGAGTTGGGTTGGGTTGGGTTGGGTCGGCCTGATCTGAACATGGATATGGATAAAAGTATGGGGGCAGCACTGGCCTCGACGGGTCGATCCATCAGCTCCCATTCAATGCACTGCATGCATGTGATGCTGTCATTTGTGTGCGGTGATGGACGACACTTGTTTATTTATTTATCTATTTACTTGCTTTTAAACGTCGTATCTATCTATCTATCTATTTATTTATCTGTCTGTCTATCTGTCTATTTTATTTATCTATGGATGCATGGATGCATGTGTGTGTGTGTGTGCGTGTGGCTGTGTAGGTTACTCAGCGGCGACAGCGGCCGCGGTTTAAAACAACCCCCCCCCTGGGGCTGCTTCAACTACGTACTCTACGTACTCTACATACATACATACATACATATATACGTACACACACATGAATAAATCGGCCCAACAAGAGGCCTTTTGAATCTACATCTTTGCGCGTATATTTTTTTTGTTGTTGTTACGTAGAGTACTTATGCTAAGTAAGACAGTGTTTTAATAATTATTTTTTTTGGGGGGGTTTTTTTTTGTAGTTTAACGTCCTTTCTCAGCCCAAAGGGCTATATAAGACGTGCAGGCTTAAGGCCTGCAAGTAACTACGTAGGCTAGAATTTAATCTAGGTACAAATTGAGTAGGTACAATNTAGGGGGGTTATCTAAATGAAGGTGAGGCTCGTAGCCTAGAGTTTTTTAGTTGAGTAACTCTCTCAGATCTTTCACTTTAAATGAGTCTTCCTCTCAAGTTTTAACGAGTAACTCTCTCAGTCGAATAGGTAGTTTAATGAGTAACTCTCTCATGTGGGTGGACCATAAATATGGTTGTGAGGGGAGAAGGATTCGAACCTTCGATCTTTGCTGACGTGAGACAGCAGAAAATTTTCCAGGCGCTCCACCACTGCGCCATCCCCC